AAAGTTCTTAAGCAAATATATTAGTAAGACATACAGGGATGGTTGTTAATTCAGTATTAATATAGTGATGACATGATCAGATTGTGATATTGTTTAGCAAAATTGTGTTGTCTAAATTGATGATTCCAAGCATTTTAATTCATGGCAGTGAACATTAGCTTGATCATTTTATTCATGATTTTGCAAACATTTGACATATAACGATCAATATATAGGCATCAGAACAAGACAAGAGTCACAGAGCCATGTGATGCTGTACTAGACACAGCAATGCTTTGAGCCAAATGCTAACATCAACATGCTAACATGCTCACAGTGACAGTGTTACTGTAATGTGTAGAAGGTTTTTTTTTTTTTTTTGCAATGTATTTTTATAGACTTTGGTTTATTCATTTATTTGTTTGTTTATTCTTCAATTTATTTTATTGATTCCAATATATGTGTATATATATATATATATATATATATATATATATATATATATCATGTTCCCCACAAGTCTACAAATAGCACTTCAAAGATATACACACCATGTACAAGTTGAGAGTGAAATTTTCTGTAGAAATTAGTCATTGATTTGAAAATAAGATCAGGCCTATGGGGTGATACGTAGTTCACCCATTTCTCCAGTGTGATGCAAACTGTTCCAATTTATGACAAATGCTGTTTTCTTCTCCATTTTGTAAATGCCCATTGTAATTTCCATCCATGCATTTAAAGTTGGACTCTCCTGTTGTAACCATTTTCTTGTAAGTCTCTCTACCAGTGAGGTATATACCCAAAGTATATTATATTACTTTCTAGGGGCATTTCACATTTACAAATGACTTGTAGGGCATTGTGTATCTCTCTCCAATAGTGTTTGATAATGGGGCGGTCTCAGAAAATATGGTGGTGGTTTGCAGTTTGGTGTCAGTAGTTTACTCTAGCAAACAGGGGGGTTACTGTCATAGTGGGGTTTTTGAGAGGGTGTAATAAAATACCCTATCAGGCTTTCCAAACCAAACTATCTTCTTTTTCTGTGAGCTGGTCTAATTCCATTGGTACTTCCATATTGTTGTCCTCCTTCCTTCTCCCATTTTTATGCTGGTGACAGCCCGGGCCATAATCCCACCTTTAGTTTTTGTAATTGCAAAGATTTGAGATGAAACCCTGGATGTTTAGCAGATATAATGTTGACAAAGGCGCAACTGGGATGTTTGATGCAATGAATGGATGCTAACAAACATGACAAGAAATGCCGAATTTCTAATGATATCTAAGGCAACCAGTTGCTTGCTTGCTGTGTTTATGAATTCATTTTGCATAAAGTCAGTGTGTGACCAATGGGTGCTGGTTCCTCAGGTCAAAACGCAGGCAGTGGAAACAGGCTGTTAGTTCTGGGTATTGATTATTATACAGCATTGATTTCAGCAATGCCACCCAGCCCTAATGCGCAGATACTTTTGCCCTCATATCAATGGTGATTTTGTCAAAATAAATGCCATCTTGTTTAAAGTGCTATGTTTTTTTCAATTAATTTGTTACAAAACATGTGATATCTAATAAATTACACAGAGTAAATGTGTATATGTTACCAGAAAGTAGACATTTTGACATTGTCACATTGCAGCAATCATCTGCTCTGACAATGCTAACACAGTCATTGTGACTAAGTGTGTTTGCAATGACTCATTATTTCATTGTAAATAGATCTAGTATATCTGATGCCGCCTTGAATGAATAATTCCCTGTCAAAAGCAGGTGATCTGTGTTTCCTGACTCAGTGTCAAACATGGTGGCAAGGGTCTCTGTCAGGTGATAGTAAAGATTATCTGCTCATGCTGAACAGGCATTGTCAGTCATTATTATTACCCACATGATGCACAGATTAAGTGGCGCTGAAGTTCAGAGTGGGATGTTCAAATAGATTTATCTCAGCCCGGGAGTCTTACCGGCAGCCAACAACGCTGAATTACGGCACAAAAGCTGCTGTATGAAAAAAGTAGGACCGTGGGAACAGTGCAGCGTAGTAGCAGAACAATGCAGCCAAAAAATAGCCTGAATGTGAGAAATGAGATGGAAAAGAAAAGAAGGTTGTGGTGTTTAGATGTGATAATTATGTGAGGATGCCAGGGACATGAAGATGAGTGTTGCTGGCTCCCATCTGTGCCCCCTCAGTGCCAGCCCTCCACTGACAGCCAGTGTCACAGAGCAGAAACCAGCAGCAGAACTTAAAGGACCATACTAGGATTTTTCATGTTTTAACCCATTTATTACAAATCACATAGACGTATACTTTTTAACTTTTACATTTGTTTGTTTACTTTTATTTGTGTCAAATGAATATCACTAATAAGTCACTGCAAGATAATTTCACACTGTACTGTAATGATGTTACACTCTGCCTTTTTATGCCTCCACGCTGACAACAGCCAGGACTGTCCTTCCATAAGTATGTCTGTCCAATTCTTGTGAGTGCGATATCTCAGTAACGCCACAAGGGAATTTCCTCTAATTTGGCACAAACATTCACTTGGACTCAAAGATGAACTGATTCGATTTTGATGGGCAAAGGCCAAGGTTCATGGTCACAGTGACCTCATGTTCTTGTAATTGCGCTGCATCAGGAATGCCCAGGGAATTGCATTAGATCTGGCACAAACCTTCACTTAGACTCCAGGATGAACTGATTAGAATTTAGTGGTCAAAGGTCAAAGGTAAAGGTTGACCTCACAAAACATATTTTTGGCCATAACTCAAGATTTCATATGCTAATTATGACAGAATTTAACACAAATGTCTAATAGGATAAAAAGGTGAAGAGATGACCTTTTATATCCAAATGGTCAGAGGTCAACTTCACTGTGACATCATAATGTTCAGCAAAAAGACCTCTGGCCATTATTCATTGCTGTAACCGAGGGAGGGGAGATTGATCATATTTCCTGCAACTTGACTGGTTGGTGGAGGCATACAACCACGAGCTGGTAATTCTACTATGTTATTGTTCTGCATATAATCATATCATACAGTGCAAACTATTATGTACATAAGTTATCATCATTCCTGTCAGTTCTCATGTTTTAATGAATAATGACTGATGATGAATTATTTTACCTACAGCTTACATGAATTGTACCTATTAAAACACAAAATTCTGGTATAGTCCTTTAACAACAACTGCCTCTCTCCATCTGAAGCTCTATAGACAGACTGCCGACTGTCTGCAAACAGATCTGAGTAGGATAATCTCTTGTTAGATCCTCTTCTGTTCTGACTGACAACTCACTGAGTGATTGTGATTCTGTGTCTCTCACATCTACATGCACATCTACATCTGATCTCCTCAAGTGTCATCAGACAAGTCAAATGATCCCTGCCAGTTCCAGGGGTGCTGTTCTGTAGCTGAATTTACAAATATCAATATACAGTATGTTGGGCCAAATAGCTGTTGTTGTTAATGTTGTGATGATGGTAACATTTGCAGGTAAGAGAGCAATTCATTGTGATGAGACAACTCGCTGATTGATACCCATAAACCCTTGTCATGTAAAACATAAGTGACTTTGGTGAAATGCAAGATCTAAAGCACTTATTTATAACATTTTTTGATAATGTTTGCATGTAGCATAGTGTAAAAATAAGTGACCAATTCTGGCACAGTCTTTCCAAACGTGCACTTCAGCACAGATCCAATATGAACTGCCACATACAGTATGTGACCAGGCTGTTGGATATCTGGAGAGGGATGTTTACCGGAGCTGACAGCCCTCTGTCTGGTGACACTTCAGACTCTGTGAGGGTGCAACGTCTCCACAACTTTAAATCAAACGGTTTCTATTTTTATTTCCACACGTGCAGTTTTGTGCTGACAAAACATTAACCGCATCACTGACACTACGGTTTCATCCTCTGTTGTTGTGCCTTTCTCTTGACCTCTCTGTTTGCTTTAAGGACCTATTGTTAGTAATAATAATGTATCACATAGTACTGATAGATTGATTTTTACACAAAATGGTGATCTGCATATTAATCAAATGCAGGGTTATGCAGTTCTGTTATTATGTACTCATCATGGTACCACCTGTATCTCCTCTAATGTTGCTACTCATTCCAACACAGAACCTACTGTAGTCTTATAATTTACTACAGGGAGCATGATCATGAAAATAAAACTTGATGCAACTAGTTTGATGATAGTAAACGTTAATCAGCAGTGTTAAAAACTTTGTTGACAAGTTTGACATAGAGCAGCAGAATCTGTGCAGTTTGCACTAACAAACTCAAAAGATGAGGATTATTAAAGCTGTGGTTGATTGTCTGATTATCAGATAATAAATCCTTCAGTCATTTCAAATTGAATGCCAGACCACATTTGTTAGCCTGAAACTTTAAATTAATTAAGTGTAAGTGTTGAAAGTGTGTGGATTTTTTTGATTTTCTATCTCTTAATTATTTTTCCTCCATCTCACTTGTCGCTCTGCAAGTGTGCCAAGATGATCTTTCATCAAGATTTCCTTTGAAGGTTTATCACGGCTAAACATAAAACTTAACTGAGTAAAGTTTTCAGTTCACGTCATCCCAGTTGAGATCCAGCAGCTGACAGACAGATGAAATACACATCTAATTTACCTGGAATATATAACCTGTAGCAAAACACACGGTGCCATATCCGCTTCAAACAAAAGAAACACATTTTCTACAACTTAAAATTGGCTTATTTACAATACTTTGTTTTTAATGTGCCTTAGTTAACTAATTCAACTTAATGAATTGTTATGCATTTGTGATAGATCATTATACTGTATATGTAACAGAAATGTGCTAAAAGATATTAATACAGTAAAGCTGCATGGAAAATCTCATATTATTCTTCCAACAGAGGCTGTTACTTTGCTGTGAGTTTCCACTGGTGTGAGGTGACTCACTGAAAGGCTTTAAGTGGATTTGTAAATTTTTTTATTTATTTTTTTTTATCTTACACTATATCCATTCTTTCCCTTTTCCTATCCCTTCAGAGGCCGTCAGAGAAATGTCGCTACGTGGTGGGCAGTGTCCTGTGCGAGGGTGAAGAGAAGCCAGATGAAGAACTGCAGAAGCTGTACGAGAAGTTTGGCTTCAAGGTGTTTTCTCTGCCAGAAGTGAGCCACGCTGTGACCACCAGCTTCCCCTGCACCACACCTCTGTCCCACGTGCTGGGACCTTACAGGGTCTACCCGAGGCTCGCTTCTTACATTGAGGTATGGACAATGTGAGAATCTGTCAGTCATTCTAAGACTCACTTTTAGCTACATAGTATCTTACGTTATAAGCTGCAGTTTGTGAGTCAGGATGTATCCCTCTATCAAAAAAAAGGATCCCCAAGAAACACAAGTATAAAGGTTCGAACCGTATTTACAAGATGGCTCAAGTTTTTATTAGAAAGTTCCATAGTGGTTATTTGTTTCATGCCCCTGTCCTGCAGAGACAAGTTAATGCCACCATATGAAAAAGTAAGACAGGAGTTCTCTTTTCCTTTCTCTTTCTTACATCCTTTTACTAGAGTGGAGAGCAATCATCTTGTGTTCATATCTGTCCTCTTTACTGCTTCCCACTTGTCAAAAGCCCCTCGCTCATGTGTTGTTTAATTCATCACATGAACAGATGAGGTCTTTAAAGCAGATTAAGAATAGATGACATAGTAGGAAATGAAGGTGCGTCTGAGTCCTGCGGCCCATATGCTGGGCTCCATGTCCTCAGGACAGGCCTCAAAAAGCTATTGACATTTACTGATGACATTTACACACATGAATTCATTTAGGGGCATCCCACTGCATGAATAATGCTCCGTGTGCGCTTGTGTGTGAGTGCACGCACATGTGTGCGTGCACGTCTGTCCATCTGTTTATTTAGGCTTCTGTCTCTTCACAGGAGGTAAAAAAGGACCCATTTCCTCGTCATAAAATGTTCCATTATGTCTATAAAATATGCCAAGTGTTCTCACATCTTTTGTGGGTGGAACAAACTTTTCTTTCTCATATTCATGACTGTGGGAGATGGGGAGTTCACACAAAACTGTTCGATGGCAAGCGGGGTCATGTTTGAGTGCAGAAATTCATTGGTATTCCTCTCTAACTGTGTGAACCTTTTTGTATTTAATCAGTAAACTGCAGTTGCCTGCACAAACCCAAGGAATGATCTGTATGTATAGTAGTGTGAATGGTGCCATTATGACATAGGAGTAGCACTTTACTGCATTGCGTCCTCCATCTGTGTTGTGTCGAGCGCAGGAAAGTGAAGGGGGGTGAGGACCCAGCCAATGACATTGTTCATTGGCTGGATCCAGCTATGTCAGCATATCAAAGCCATGCTAAAGATAGCCTGTGTGTCGTAGGCTGACCATTTGTGAAAGGTCTAAGTTGGTTTTAATGTTGACTTTCACCCTGGACTTGTCCCAGACTTTTTTTTATGCTTAACCTCTTGGCACTGAGGACAGCTTGGATTTTATAATATGTTCATTTGTCCGAAAAAAAAACCAAAAACAGCTATATAATATATAATGTCGGATGAGCTCAAACATGAACATAACAGCGTCTTTTGTCTCCCAATTTGGATTGTCCAGTTGTCCATAGTATTATCCTGGTGATTGAAGACTGCCATGTGTCTGCTCACATAGTTACCAGCTGCTCCTTTTCACCTGCCCTCGGGGTGTTACACTCAGATATCAGCAGCCCGCTGCACCCAGGCAGCTCAGACACCGACAAGCAAATGATCCCCCACTGGTTTCCCACTCAACAAACAGAAACAATTGGTTTTGCTCCTGTCTGGCTGAACTGGAAGCGCTCCAGCCAGGAGGAGAACTGAACTGAACTGACAGCTAAAAGTCACAATAGTAAAGCTACAATGTAGGGTATTTACCCATATGTAGTTAGGAGCTGCTCCAGTTAGAATGACCTCATGCATTTTTACACTTTAAGTTGCATATTTAGGTTGCAGTTTGATCTTTGCTTCAGTCTCTTTACTATAACACCCCACGTCAGAGGGCAGGACAAACTCTAACATGTCATGTGCGCTGACACAGACTAAACGGTCTGAAGGCACAGGAATAGCATCACTCAATGTTAAAATTTAGTAGTATTCTCTTTTAGGCTCTAGTGCTGTTATGTAATCGTTGCCAGTGTCAGTGTGCATTTCCTGTGAGCATGCAGCTCTGTCTGTCAAGCTAGTTGATGTCACCGTGAAGAGGCATCAGTTTTTTTTTTTTTTCTTTTACTCCCTCGCACTTGTCTGCCACGAAGCAGAAGCGCTTGTCGCAGTCCATCAGTCGACCTGAGTGCTGTGACAGGTCGCTAAGGAGGTGCTCTCGTACAGTAGATATGCTAATAACACACTAACATCCAGTTTGGGTTTTGCAGTGGCGAGTGCACTATGCATACCAGCTACAGCGAGGCTAATGAATAATGGAGTGTGGTTTAGAGAGGCTTGGTTTAGAGAGGATGGTATGTGAATGTGCTAGAAATGTCTGCATATATACTGTATTTATGATTAATTGAGTAGGTTTGTAGTATGAGGGACTTTGAAAGGTGGGAGACACTGGTGTGACATTGCCTCTGTGGGTTTCTCTGAGCTTTTTCACTGCTACAGCTGAACAAAGGTGATGAGAACAATGACACGGAAGCAGAACAGATAATTGCGGGCCATGAAACCAAAAAGACTAAAAAGACACTAAAATCACCCAAAAGCACTGTTACACATAGTCATTTGACCAATCGTTCACATTAGTGCAGCCTTAAAGCTGCACTAATGTGAACGATTGGTCAAATGTAAACCAGTGCCGCCTCTGTGGGACTGGGGAGGCCGACCTGGGTGGGCTTACTGTCTGGCCCTGTGCCCAGAAAAATGTTTTCTCAGAGAATCTGGTACACCTCTCGGCCTCCTGTAGGGCTTCAGTTATCACAGAGCAGGTTAAGTACATAACTGCCCTTTTTCACTTGAACGCCTTCTCTCCGCTCCAACAACGCCATCTCCACACCAGCTTACCTTGCCTTATCTCTTCCATGCACATCACACACACACACACACACACACACACACACACACTGAGTGTGATTGTAGCTTAAAAGTTCTGAAGTAGATGAGAGGTGTTCACTGTGTTTAATCCTGATGTTTTTCATGTGCTGTTAATAATCTGAGGGTAACAGAACGTGAGGTATCAGTGGAATATCTGAGATCTTTGTAATTTGTGGGCAGCAGCTGTGTGTTCATGTCAGTCCAAATGAAAGCATTGAGTGAACGCGTATGACCACAGGATGCTTGGGATTGTATCATTGCCTGGTTAAGAAGGCTGCTGGTGAAAGAGGGAAAAATGAACAGATAACACAGTAGCTGTCAGACTTTATTAAAGGATTTGGGCAAGCCCTGTTTGATCTTTGTGAAAGCACCTTTTCGGGACCTAAGGAATGAAACCAAACAGTCACTGGGGTTTTATTTTCATGGCTGCCGCCGACAAAACTCCCAGTAGTAGTCCCTGTGAGCAGAAACAAGATGAGAAGCTGATAGCTGCCGTCCATTTAGTAATCCATTTATCTGAATCAGTGTTCAAGCATCATAAAAGTATCATTATTTCCCCCTTATTTTCTTCTTCATTGTGTGGTGCCACCATTTTCCTTGCCTTGCAGGTCCCACAGCAATTAAAATGTACATCTTGTATTTGTATTATCTGGGGTATTCCACTATTGCAGAATTTGTATGTATTTTTATCTACTGTTGTTCTGTACGGTTGCTCACATTGTGTTTAAGCACAATTTTCTCTTTTTCAATTTAGTGCCTGGAAAAATTAAGTGGAATTAATTTACCACTGTCATAATAATAAACAGCAGTTGTGCGGCAGATGAAGCTGATGACAGTTGAGTGTATTTCCTTCCTTGCAAAACATTTGCAAAGCCGATTTTTTTATTTTAAAGTAGCCTAGACTAGCCTGCAAGTTTCTTCTTCTCTTTGCAGCATATCATGGCGTGTTACCACCACCTGCACATCAGTGGAATAGTGTCACACCATTGGTAGGAATGTGAATCATGTCACCCATGTACACACATGTGCATCCTTGTGTTGAATGCATAAAAATAAACAAAACTGGACCCACTCATAGAAAAACAGCTCTATAGCACTACTGGAGGTCTAAAACTCCACAGGAGACCTTTAAGGATGAACTGGGAACGAACATGGTGGTGAACTAGTGTTTGTCTGTAAGCTCCGTCCACGTGGCCTTAAATTCCCACCAAATTTTAGAAATTGACCAGCAGGTGGTGGGAGTTTGAACGTGTTCAAAAACTTCCTCCTCGTGGAAAGAGGAAAAAATGAAATATATCACAAGCATATGATATATGATTTATAATTTCAACATAAATATAATAATATTTATATATACAGTATAATATAGTGCTGACATGTATTAACCACTGTGGTGAAGTTGAGTTTTGGTGCTGAAAAATGGCGCCAACTCCTGTGTTTATTTTCACCTTTTTCAGTTACTGGCACCTTCACGCTCTGCCACTGTAGTGTTGATTCCTCACCTCCACTCTGCTCATGGTTTATTCACCAGCCACTCTTCCCCATCTTCTTTGATGTTATTATTTGTTGAATTAAATATAGAAAATTTGTTTTGCTTGTCCACAGCATCTATATTTCATGCAATGGCCTGATTAGGGGTTAGCCAGTGGAACTGCGCTGATTTCAGGTGTCTCCGCTGAGTAAACAAGAACTGAGATGCCCTTCGCTCTGGTTAGATGGTTTTGTTGGTGAACGAATAAATGTGTCAGTAGCTGTTTTGGTGCGAACTGTTACCAGAATGGATTGTGAGCTATGGAGTTGTATTGTTTGTATTCTCCTGTACTGACAATGAGGTCTACTCTCATCAAATCAGACTATTCTCGGTTTTCTTCTTTGTCCGTCCGTCTGTCTTTATGTCAGTCTTTATGTCTTGTACCAAGTGTGTGCAGATGATGAATTATATACTGCCTGTCAAGTGAGTCAAGTGAACCACAAATAGGACTTCTTTTAAAACAAGTGTGCCTCCACCACTTATTGTAGTGCAGTTTTATCTATCTGTGTCTCTACTGAACACACACACACACACACACACACACACACACACACAATCACAGACAGACCACTCATTAATAAAAATCATGTTTCATGGTGATTATAAAGCCAAATATTTCCCTCACAACGTCAGGTAAAGGAATCCTCCCACTCACATTTC